ATAAAACAAACATCCGGTCTCTACACTTTAATTCCATGAAACTTTAATACCCATTAGTCAAAAATTTGTCTTTTGTGGATCACTTTAATGACTATACTTTAAATAATAGCACCACACATTTTAATTTGTTACGTGTGACCTCAAATATTGTTAGAATATTCCAACATCATCGTCAAAGTTGGTACTGTAAATAATCAATCTTTTACCTTTCAATTTTTCAGTTCTTCAACAAGTACTTATATTTAAAGTAACAAATTTTTAATGCAACGTTATTTCAATTAATAAATAATATTATCTGAAACCAATAAATTTATATTATTATTAGAAAACCATGAGCGACGTACGTGATACTAACTATTTTTTTATACGGGTAATGCTATTCATAATAAAGAATACTAGTAATTTTCTTCCACGACATACGTGTAATAATATGATATTTGATGTATGAGGCAATAAAAAACTATAACATTAATTTATCAAATATAAAACTGTTATATATATGTAATGTATGACGACTACTGATAGTCTTTATTATGAATAACATTATTAATTTTTTTTTTTTGGGTTCGAATGCCACACACAATGGTGGGCCCAATCTACCCAAACCCGGATATATTTGGGACCTTTCCGGGCCCGACAAGCGGGCTTTGATAATCCCCAAGTATTATAGACTTATAGTACTACCATTTGAAGCATTAGTACAAACCAGCTTCTTCTCGTTCAAAATTTCTCCTGTACTTTGAAATTTGATCATTCGCGAAAGGTTTATTCATACTTAGAAATCATTTTTTTGTGCAAAAATAATTATATAAATTGAAAATGGAAGCGAAGATTGGGCGATTTTTCGAGTCAGTTGGCAGTTTATTCACAGGCGGTGATCAGATCCCTTGGTGTAATTCCGACATAGTTTCTGTAAGTCATTATGTATATATTTATGTAAGTTCGTAAGGATGTAGGGTTATGTGGATTTTTTGTTTTTGTATAAATTTCTTTCTTTCGTTCTTTTTAATATTCTGTGATTTAATCCTCATAAGCGGAAAGCTAATGAGTAAATAAGAAGAATAGAGAAAATTGATATTTAGAAGGAAAAATTCTCTCTTTAATGAGGATTTTTGCTGATAATATGATTTCTTCAGTTAAGTTCATCTCGAGAGACAACCTCGATTATTTTTAATTCCGAGCTTCGTAGTCTTTCATCGGTTTTCAGCATACTGCAGCTCAAATTACTTCAATTAGAGTTTATTCTGGTCATTGGCTAATTTTTAGATGGTAGAATCTGCTGTGGTTTGAACATTTAAAAGTAATCAATTGGAGATTTGGTCTGGTGTGATTTAACTTGCATTTGTTTGCAATTTAAGATGGCTGGTTGATGTGGAAATCGAAATTGAATTGATTATCATCATATTACTTTTGTTGCTTTGCACGAATGATATACAGAATCTATTGTAATACGTATCTTCATTGGAATGTAAACATTCAAGATGGTGTTGACCCAACAGTCAGAAACAATGACCAAAAGTTCAATAACTTTTGTTGTTCTTCAATATGGTTTGTACCTAGTACTGATCTCTATGCTATCACAGAAAATATTTCAGATGCATTTTGTTGTGCGAAGTTGGGTTTAATTGCTTATGTTCATAAATTGTGGACATTTAGGTGTTCACTCTCTGCTTGTTTGCGTTAGCTTGTATAATTGTAATATGCATCTACAGGGTTGTGAACGCGAAGTTGCTGAAGCTGAGAAAGGTTCCTCTGATGAACTTAAAAGTGAATGCATCACGCGTTTGTCTTGGGCCCTTGTTCACTCAAAACGACCAGAAGATGTACAGCGTGGGATAGCGATGCTTGAAGGTGACCATCGAATAAGGAATTGCTCGTTTTCTTTCTGCCTGCTTTTTTCTTTCTTTCTTCGTTTTTTTAGTGGTGGTTTGGCATTAAGTATACATTTTTGTGACTTGTGGAATGCATTATTTGCAGCTTTGTTGGCTGGCTACAATAGCCCAATGCAACTTAGGGAAAGGCTTTATCTTCTGGCTGTTGGATACTATAGAAGTGGCGAATATTCAAGAAGCAGACAGCTTGTTGAGGATTGTTTGGAGGTCTGAATTTTGGGTTTTCATTTATTTTTTAGGGCTCTAAATCTCTGTAATCTCTTCTAATTATGAAAGTAGAAACAAGTATATCAGCTTCATTTTTATTTTCAAAAATCGTCGATGTTTGAGTTTCCTGGTCTTGCCTGTAGGCTCTATACCTACACTTCCACTGTAACGTGCCGGCATTCTAATTAGTGGATGTAATTCTGCAGATTGTGCCTGACTGGAGACAGGCATTTACCCTCAAGAAAACAATTGAGAATAAAATCACCAAAGGTAAAGTGGTGAACACTGTTTACTTTTTCCTCAAAGTGCGCATGCAAAATACGTAGTGTTTCCCCACCTCATCTAAAAGTTTAAAGTGGAAAGGTGAATAAACTTATCTATTTACATTTCAACAGGCCACCGCTTGAGCAAGTAGATTTTTTCCATTGAATGCCAAACATATACTAGTAGAATTCATTTTCATTTTTTTTTTCCATCAAAGGCACATGTACAATTTTTCATAAATGTAAATGGGTGGCGACAAGACTTGATTTCGGAATTTGTTCATGATACTATGCTGAGACAAATTTATTTAAGTAAATTATTTCTTCAGAGTAAAACAATGCTTATAACTTGTTTTAAGTGAAGCAATTGAGAACTTTTGTTGATGCAGATGGAGTTATTGGAATTGGCATTGCTACTATTGCTGTTGGACTCTTGGCTGGTGGAATTGCAGCAGCATTGTCATTGCGGAAGAAATGACCTTACCATGATGAACATTGTACATTTTGCATCTACATGTAAGCATACCTATATAAATCAATAGGTAAATCAATATCAGTATTAGAGATAGGTTCTATTATCTGATCTGACCTAGGGCAAGACTCTTAGTTGTGCGGAGTTGCCACTGGTTTAGACTCAATTGGTACCTCAGGTGTGAGATTCTCATCAGACCTTGATTTTGGCTTTCGTGAGTAAACCAGTACCTCTTTATTCTTCTGTTTTTCTACACGTTCCTCTGAGTGTAAGCTTTCTTTTGGAACCAGTAAAGGAGTGAAGGATGATGATGGTGCGATAGAATTAGTGCTTGGAGAAAAATCAAAGAAAAGAGAGCCACTAACCAAGTGATTCAAGATTTACTTAAATTCTCCCCCTAAATTGAGGACTTGGAATAGAAAGGAGTGGTTTCAAAAAAATGTTACATCAAGACTGACAAAGATGTAATATGATACGGGGTCACACTTGTAACTTTTTGTGTAGGTGAATAACCAAGAAAAACACATTTTGTGGCTCAAGGTTCTAATTTAGTTTGCTGGCGTGTATGGACATATACAAATGCTGTACAAGCAAAAATTTTAAGGGAGACAGTGGAATTAAGTCGGGAGTGAGGAAAGGCATCTTGAAATTTTTGAAGACGTGATAAGTGAAAGGACATGACTAGGCATTTTGTTTATGAGATAGATTGCAGTCAAGATAGTATCACCCCAAACAATATTTGGCATGTTGGTAGTGAACATTAGGGCACGAGCTACATCAAAGATGTGTCTATTTTTTCGTTTGGCAATCTCATTTTATTGAGGGGTGTCGACATATGAACTATGGTAAATGATGCCATGTTCATGAAGATAGAAACTCAAAACACTGATTGCAATATTCAGTGACATTGTTGGTACATAAAATTTGTATTTTGGTGTTGAATTGTGTTTGGATCATGGAGTGAAATTGATAAAAACAGAACGGACTTCAGTTTTCTCTTTCAGCAAATAGACCCAACAAAGTTGTGTATAGTCATCCATGAATGTGATAAACCATTTTGTGTGTGTTCGACTAGGAATACGGGAATGACTCCAAACAGTACTGTGAATCATAGTGAACGGCTTAGTAGGTGTAAACTTTGGAAATGAAGTACGATGATGTTTTGCAAGATCACACACTTCACATTGAATATCAAGAGACAATTTGTTGGAGTAAAGAGCACGAAATAAATGTAGCAAATACTAAAAATTAGGATGACCCATCTTAGAATGCTATAACAGGAGTTCACTATTCTTAGAGAAAAAACAAAATCAAATATAGCATTTTGACATTGGTTACTCACTTTAGCATGTTCAAAGTAGTAGAGTTCCTCACACTTCTTAGCACAACCAATCATCGTCCCCTATGAATCATTTCTAGACTCTATTCAGTTCATTGGTAGATCTATTTGAAGATTTAAAACCAACCAAATTTTTAGCAACTACAATAAATGGTGTTTGGTCTACCCCTTCTCTTTCTTGTTCTTCAAGATTGTGGCACTCTTATGGACATGTGAATATGAACGTCCAAATTTTCCTAATAAGTAAATAAAAGTTGTAAATAATTAACTCTTTTCATACAATTATAAATAATTTTTTGTACCTATGCCTGTCGCACTGTGAGAACTGATCATGTTCGATGTCGAAGGCAAGGCTACTGATAGGAGTGAAATCGTAACAATGTAACCATATTAGAGGCACCTGGCATGACACGAGAACCTCCTTCAAGAAGAAATTATTAAACTAGAAATAATTTAGCGTCATTCTTTGGAGAACCTCCCATTTGGTAGGTTTTTTTTATTAGAGAAAAGTTCTTCGAGAAAGTTACCTTAACTGATTTTTGGAAACTAAATTTTAAATGAGCTTCATCTTCCGAAAGAACTAAAGAGGATGTCGTATTGGATCGATTTCCTCCAAAAACTATTCTAACTAGAAGGATCAGTTTTACAAAATTAATCAAACAGTTCAAAAATAACTTTTGAATTCTCAAAAGTTATGCCGAACTGGACCTAACTTGTTTAGGTACAATTTCATTTTCTTGTATTATAATTTGGTCGAACACCCTAGCTTGTTAGGAGGGTAGTTAACATCAGCTCATGATAGGTAATAATTATTGTGTTTTTATTCAATAAGAAGCTATATAAACTATACCCAAAAAGAAAAATACTGATATTATCCATTTATTGAGCCGTACAATTCGGCCTAGGTTTGCTGTCCATTTTGTAGAAACCTTGTTTATTCCATCTTGGCATTGAATGATACAAAATTTACTTGTATGAATTCATCTACCATATGTACCCTAGAATTCCATCAAAGCTAAACATGGAGAGTGCTTCACTTAAGATCACTTTCTTAACTTTCCTCCTGCCTGCAGTCTCTCTCTCGGGGTGACAAACGGGTTGAGTCACTCACGACTCGAGCTCGTTTTGAGATGAGCCATGGGCTGAGCCGAAGTCATTTTTTTTTTAAAGTGTTGGGGGTACATTGAGGTTCACATAAGGGTTGACATAATACTCACATGGGGTGTCCCATTTTGTAGGTCCCACAACATGGGTCCCACCCCATGTGAGTATTAGTCAACCCTTATGGATAAAAATTATGTACAAGTAGAATTTTTGGTTTTTTTTTTTTTATGAGCCAGCTTTTGTGTCAGCTCATTTGACTAGGCTGGTGAGGCCCACAAGCCGAAGTGTCAAGCTTAGGATTTAGGCACGAGTCGAGCTCGGCCTATTGCAACCCTCTCGCACACGTTATTATCATTAACGATAACATTATTATGGGGTTAAAGTTTGATGAGTTGAGTTGAAGCATGTAATTAATAGATTCTATTGTACGCATTTGCAGTTTTACAAAATCGAAATTTAAGTACACCCAATTGCACTTGTGGTTCTCTTTGTGTGGTTAATACCGATTGCACTGATCCTGGCTGTCCCTACTGCGATATAGGTCTTGGACAAGGCGGAGGTTACTACGGCATATGTGTTTCTTAATGAATATGGAACGTAGTATTGAACCAAAGGACAATAATAAAATTTATAACATACTTTTACGCGTAAAAGTTCATTGACTGCTTGAAGTTTGTATTGCCTTCTGTTTAAAAATCATAATATGAATATTGCATTAATACTCTCGCAACATTAAATAGCAACAAATTTGTACTTGATTAAACCGTGGCAACGCAAATTTCTTAGAGAATTTTTATATCAATCGATGGATCTTATAATGTCCGATTTATCTATAGTGATCATAATAGGATTGACCACTTCAATTTATGATGACCAGAGTACGATCAACCATCTCAATTTTCGATCTTAAGATATATTTAACATTGTGTGAGCTGTTATTGATTTTATCCAACAAGTGTACAAATCATAACAAGTAATAAAGTAATGAATAGAGTATCGTTTTCACGATGTTTATTCTCCATTGTGCCATTACGAATCATGCAACACTGTTTAGCACGCATGAAATTAACGATATTATACATCTATGCAAAGAATTCCGAAAAACCAAATTCACGTTTGAAATGCATACTACAATAAATGAAATTTAAACCATTTTTCTCGTTTAACGAATTTTTTTTGTTTATAAGCCAGATTTATGGCGACTGTCTAAGCTCCCCGGAGGACAGTTACAAGAATTCTGCATGAACCCACAACTTAAAATGAAATCTATCACGCGTAAAATTAGTTAAAATCATGTTCATTACACTGTCGGGGCTACATTTATTACTTTGATAGTCATGCTTTTAACAATAATTTGTCTGCATGACTGCATCAGAGGTAAAAGTTGAAATAGAATCATGATTTCTCCAAACGACGCAAGTTTTCCATTTCCCTTTTCCTTTAAGGTAGATGAATGGCTAATAGTAAAGAGAAGTTGCACATCTACATTACCTGTAAACACCAGATTTGAAGATATAAGATCCATATATTGTTGTTTGAAAGTACTGAGTTAATGTCTGATTGAATGGTTTTGAAATTACCTAAACCCATTGTTCCATAGACCAATGATTTTCTTCGTAATTTGGCATCAGTGACACCAAAAACTATGAACAGAACAAGAAATGTAGACGAAAACCATTGGAAATACGACATTTTTACTCGAGAAGGTGAAGTTTATGTGGGAAACTTTAAAGCTTTTGCAAATGAAATGATAGATGCTGAATTTCCCTTCAGCTTTCATAACCACCTCACCCCACCCCTATTTTACCTTGTCAGTTGGTATTATTTGGAGGGGTTGACTCTATGACATTGGTTCTTGGCTTTGAACTTTGTGGTACTAGCTGATACAACCCATCTCTTAGCATTCCTAGCAGCAAAATCTTCTTCGTTTTCAAGTCCTTAACAAAACAGGAGTTAGAGAAGAATTCCATAAATACGTTATTGTCTTTAGTAAGTTGAGAAACACTAATAAGATTCTTTCTAATAGCAGGCACATGAAGTAATTTACTAAGTGCAAGTGGTCTATCATCAGCTGTAGAAATTTTTCCATTTCCAGAATGGGTTATATGTAATGTGTTACCATTTCTAACAATCAATTTTTCATTTCCTTCATATCTTTTTGCATTTTGCAGGTTATTCTTGTCTAATGTAACATGGTTGCTCGCGCCTGAATCTACAAACCACGCTGGATCCTCAAGGACTGATGGTGAAGCAATATATGCAGATGGTGCCGTGTTGCTGTTTTGGTGATTTTGATTGCTTGTTCTGCTTCCCATAAACCTCTCATCAAATCTGTTAAAGCACCAGCTAGCCGTGTGATTATTCAGTCCACAAATTTGGCAAGGTGTCCTGCTATCTCCTTGCCTGCCAGATCTTGCTCTTCCTCTGTTTCTTCCTCTAAAATTTGTTCCCCTGCTACTAATGAATCCTCTGTATGCTCTCCCATTGCCTGAACCACCTCTTTGAACGTGTTGTACACTAGACTGGTTTATACTCATTGAGTTAAAATTATTTTTAACTTGATTTAGATACTCAAGTCGACTTTCAAATGTCATCAACACTAATGACAGTTCATGCCAAGAAATGTTATCTCTGCTATTAATTTGCACCATTATAGGTGTATACTCTTCATCCAAACCTGAGAGCACCTGAGTCACAAGATCATTGTGACCCATTACCTTTCCTGCTACCTCCAGATTGTCAGCCAATTGCTTGACTTTTGTCAAGTATTCATCCATAGACATAGCTTCCTTCCTAACTCTTTGCAGTTCTCCAATGAGGAAGACTATTCTGGATTTGTTTAGTATTCCATAGCTTTGTTCAATTGCAGTCCAAAGTTTACTAGAACTGGAGCAACCCATGACTTTCACTGCTATTTCAGGAGTCATGGCTGAGTATAGCCACCCCATTAACAACTGATCGACTGCGATCCATCTATTGTACTCAGGATTCAGATTCATTTCAACTGCCTCACCTTGTCCAATGTTCGTCTGTGTTGCCAAAAACTCTGGTGGGCATTCCCTTATTCCCAGCAAATAGCCTTCCAGATTATGCCCTTTTATTATTGGCATAATCATATTCTTCCACAGCAAATAATTGTTCCTGTCGAGCTTGATGGACGGTGTTTGATTGAGTGTCATTACTACTGGTGAGTACTGATTCATAGCTGCTTGTGTGATTGGATTCATTCCAGAATCTGTTGGCCCAGACTGAGTTCCAGTGCTATTGTTAGCCATTTGGCTCTGATACCAAGTTAACTTTTGAAATGATTTTGAACTTATTCAAGTTAATTCTTGTTACAATTGTAGAAGGAATATATACAGCAACAAGAAGA